GGAAGAGTTAGGTTTGGTTGTTGCCTTCTTTATTGGTACCGGCAGTCCCTCCTCGGATAAAGTAGTACATTTTTGCCTCACGCTTAGTTCATCCTTGCATTATTAATACAATGCAAAAATGCATTGAGATAAAGGTAGCACACCTTACGAATGTACTACCTTAAAGTATTTTTTGCATTATCACATAGTGTGTTCTTGCATTTTTATTATAATGCAAGTTAAGGTAAGGTTAAATAAGGTAAGTTAAGGTTAAGTAAGGTAACCTTACCTAACCTTGCATGGACTGGACAGTAGAGCGACGGTCTCCCGTCTTACAGGTCAGCGACCGTCCAAGTGGTTGGGCACCATTTCTTTCCTCCGTCCTATCTTAAAGCCTTATCCTTTCCAAGTGCTATATAATCGTAATGGCTGAACGTTTTCCCATGACTACCGTAGCTTACCTAACCTATCCTTACATAGCCTAACCTTACATAGCCTAACCTAACCTAACCTAACCTAAACTAACCTTACCTTATCTTACCTAACCTTAAACAGCCTAAATTACCTTCCGGGTTCTATCCCAGCCGTGGCGGAAGAAGGGTGAGTCTTAAAACGCTCAAGAAAGTTGTGATCCAGCGACTTTGATGGTTGATGGACAAACAGGCCTTTTTTCTTCTTGATAGTAGGTGCAGTTCGCATGAAGGGTTCGCCCTCCAATGACTGCACCAGTACAGATGTTGGGAGACGCGTTTATGTTGAGAATGGTAAGTTTCAAATGTGCTTGTTGCGATGTGCTGTAGATAGACTAAAACAGAGGTGTACGTTAGAGGGGAAACTTTGCTGCACCGTAGGACCGTGTGTTGGGTTCAAAGCGTCAGCTAAACCTCTTCCAGGCCTTTTCAGGAAGCAATGACTAGGAGTAAAAATGAAAACTGTGCGCAGTGTTAAATGATATTTTATATTATATATATATATATATATATATATATATATATATATATATATATATATATATATATATATATATATATGTCGTACCTAGTAGCCAGAACGCACTTCTGAGCCTACTATGCAAGGCACGATTTGCCTAATAAGCCAAGTTTTCGTGTATTAATTGTTTTTCGACTACCTAACCTAACCTAACCTAACTTTATCGGCTACCTAACCTAACCTAACCTATAAAGATAGGTTAGGTTAGGTTAGGTAGCCGAAAAAGTTAGGTTAGGTTAGGTAGGGTTGGTTAGGTTCGGTCATATATCTACGTTAATTTTAACTCCAATAAAAAAATTGACCTCATACATAATGAAATGGGTAGCTTTATCATTTCATAAGAAAAAAATTAGAGAAAATATATTAATTCAGGAAAACTTGGCTTATTAGGCAAATCGGGCCATGCATAGTAGGCTGAGAAGTGCGTTCTGGCTACTAGGTACGACATATATATATATATATATATATATATATATATATATATATATATATATATATATATATATATATATAAATAACTGAAAACTCACACCCCAGAAGTGACTCGAACCCATACTGCCAGGAGCACTCTGCTGGTGTACAGGATCCCTTAACCGCTCGACCAACACGATCGGACAAAAGAGGATGGTAGCCGAGGCTACCGTCCTCTTTTGTCCGGGCGTGTTGGTCAAGCGGTTAAGGGATCCTGTATGCCAGCAGAGTGCTCCTGGCAGTATGGGTTCGAGTCACTTCTGGGGTGAGTTTTCAGTTGCATATAGTCCTGGGGACCATTCAGGCTTGTTCGCATATATGTATGTGTATGTGTATGTGTATGTGTATGTGTGTGTGTGTGTGTGTGTGTGTGTGTGTGTGTGTGTGTGTGTGTGTGGAGTGCCACCTGATTGCATTTGTAGGGACCCTCGACCTCGAAAAAGACGGCATGCAGCATCCGGGGGAGCCTTGTGGGGTGTCTCCCACTAGTCAATACTTCTTGACTAGTCAATCCTACTTGACTAGTCAATCCTTCTTGACTAATCAATCCTACTTGGCCAGTCAGGCAACATATGGTGTCCTTGGCGTACAGTTTAAGGTGTGGATGCTTCACTGCATGTCGTGTTGTAAGAGTTTGTAGCTGGTTCGTTAGGCTTATGTTCGGATTTTGGCCTGGGACAAGGTACTGGAATGTGTTAAGGTAAGCTTGGTTATTAAGTGTGCTTAGTAAAGGATAGTTGGTGATCCAGCTGTGAAGGTAGGCCTTGTGTCGGAGACCTGGAGTGTGGTCAGACCAGCGGACTCCGCACCAGCACCCGGCTCACTACTTCTGATTGACGCAGTATATGTGACTGCTCAAGCCGTGTCATTCTCTGGCCGAATTAATTGTGCTTGCGTACTGCAGTTGTCTTCCTTGTGACGTATTATTGCTTGTGTACAGTTATCCCTGTGACGTATGCCGCCTGCGTACAATTGTCATCCCTGTGACGTATTATTGCATGCGTTCAGTTGTCATCCCTATGACGTATGCTGCATGCGTTCAGTTGTCATCCCTATGACGTATGCTGCATGCGTTCAGTTGTCATCCCTATGACGTATGCTGCATGCGTTCAGTTGTCATCCCTATGACGTATGCTGCATGCGTTCAGTTGTCATCCCTGTGACGTATTGCCGCCTGTATGCAAAATAAGTACACAATATATTGGCTGGTGTGCAGGGCTTCACACTCCCTAAGAGATCCGTCAAGTAACTATAAAAAGGCATATATACTCGCTTTCACTTCAGTTATATTGATGCTAACGTATTAACGTGCAGCTTATATTTCTGTCTTTATGATGACATAGAAAACTTTGTTTATTCACAGTTGTTAGTTATCTCCTGCATAGCAGTAGATTCTGCCTGTTCCTTACCACCTACATATCAGAACGCTCCAACATTAAGAAACAACAACAATACATGCCAAAACGTATTGTTTAGACACACCTTTTTCTCCCCCCTCCACCCTACCTTCCACGAGAGAGAGCGCACCTGCAGGTCTCGCCTGCCACCAGCAACCTACCAGGACGGTCGTTATCCTGCCAGTTCCTTGTCTACAGCTCCAGAATTCGCACCAGTCTGACGTCACTGCCCATATGACTCCATAAAGTCATATGGAGTTGATTTAACTTCCAAACACGTTTTTTTATACTTATATTTATATTTTTTTAAATAAATATTAAATTTTGTGTGGCTATTTATGCTAGATATTATTATAAAAACGCATTCTACTTGTTAATATCACAATTAAATTTGCGACAATTTGAGCAGAGAGATGCAACGACTGGATCACTGTGTACAGGAGGCTGATATGCCAGCAAACACTCTCCAGGCGACAATATATCTTGGATAAGTCGCTCCACAATATTGTCGCATGGCCCCCCTCGACTTCCTAATTCATCACCTGCCACATATTTACTTCTAATTTTGTTATGAAATTGGATTATTTCAGAGTAAAAATAGGTTTGATCAAGTTCTGCATTCAGCACCAACATTATAGTGAGTAAATATATCATATATCTTCATTACTTATGTAATGCCAGCAGGCTTTGGGTAGCTTGTGGTGACTTTAGGTAGCTTTGAATAATTCTACTCACCAGTCAGATATTGTGGTATCTAATTACCCGAAGCTCCCTAGCATTATGTAAATAATTAAGAAATATGATATATTTACTTATTAGTTGGTGCTGAATGTAGAACATGAAAAAACATTTTTCCTCTGAAATAATATAATTTTGTAACAAAATTTGATGAAAGTAAGTGGCAGTGACCCCATAGGAAGCTGACGATCCAAGCGACAATGTTGTGGAGAGACTTACCCAAGATATTGTAGTGAGTATATTATGTAAATAATATATTCACTCCAAACTCTTATTAGCTTAATTAGATTAGCACAAACTCTCATTAGCACTAATGACAAAACTCGTACCTCTTCCCTAATTACAGTTATCATTCCATGCAACTTATTGGAGGACAGTGAAGTGTGGTCCAATAATATAAGCAATCAAGAAGCGAGTAATGTTTCTCCTGGAATGTGAAGCAACCAACGACCTTAGAAGAGCTTTAAGTCTCTGAATCTTGCAGTAACCACCCTGAAGCCATCAACAATGCTACTCTTCTGGTCAAAAAAGGTGTCCAGCAGCTGGACACCCTCATAAATACTGTCAAGCAGTATCCTCCCCCGCGATAGCAGCCTGATGATGAAATGTGACGTCAGCACACTGTAGAGATTTACTTAACGAAAATTTTACCACTTACGGGCTATTCATGCCCGTGCCACCTCTTGGGTGGCTTAATCTTCATCAATCAATTGAGTAATCATCACTATACTGTAATTTCCTCAGTGGTTCAGTTAATTTTAGTACAGATGCTTGAAAGTTACCACACACACCTTCAACCTCAAGAATGTAGCACTAGGCGTACACAGTTCCAGCCGACTCCAAGACACTTCAGCTTCGACTTAAGAGCAGACAGCCAGACTCCTACCGCACCGAGCTAGTTTAGAATCAACCGAGGACCTGCACAGTCCCTTTTTGGCACCGGAAACAAGTGGGAAACCCACCTGAGGGACGGGGTTGTTTCGACTACCCCCAAGCACACTCGCTCCAGGATGATGAAGGAAAAGAAACCTGCCCTGCCAGCCCCGAATCCCCTGAAGGAGGAGGAGCTGCCCAACACTACCCCAGGCCGGAGGTCACGACTCTAAATGCGCGAGACCAAGCACTAGCAAAAAGCGCGCACCTTCCCCCTCCCTCCGCACCTTGTCAACGTGACGACCAGCAAAAGGGCCAACAAGCAGAGCAGGAAGTAACTTTTAAATGGGGATAAAAAGGTCCCCTTAGCTTTAGTAATGATTATACTGTATGAATACACTAATACTATAATTTATTCTATCACTTAGAATTATTAAGCACTGAAATAACCTCTTGACATAAATAGAAAATATTTTAGGACAGGAATATACTCAAATGTGTCAGGTATGAGCTGTTATGTACAAACATGCATGTGAAAGGGATATAAAGCTATTTAGAACTGGGTATCTTTATTGAATAGTGTTGTCTTTGGTGGCTTTTGGCACACTTCAATATTTTCATTTTCAATATAATCTCTTCTTAAATTATGAAATATTACTAGATAACTTTTGGCAAAAATTAAATTTCTGAAATGTACAAAATATGAAAGTGTATCAAATTTATATTTGATGAAAAACTAAAAAATTTTATGCACTGAAGTAATTATCTCCTCTTCATAACCTTGACTATCTTGTGACCAGAATAATGTACAAATATCACACAATTAAGTTATACACCTCAACTTTTTGCTCAAACATTTTAAATTAATAAGAAAGCATGAGAAAAGAGTTCTTATCATAAAACTCTAGTGACAATCTCCAATAAATAGGATACTTGTGTGACTGACTATACTCAAATATCCTAGAAATCTTACAAATGTTATCATAAACATTAGATTCGTTCTATTACAGTTACTTCTGGGGATTATAAGAATTTAATATAGTATGATACTTTATACAGAGGTGCATTGGTTTGTGCAGTGAAAAAGCATTAGAAGCATGGATGCTTGAGCATTATGAAGAAAATGTGCATGTCAAACTACTGTACTGTAGATATGTGTCGATCACAGCTGATCAAGAGGAGTATCCTCGTGCTCTCATGATGTCTTGCAATGTAAACAATATTATGAACATTAAAAAACATTCCCTCCCCTTTGTACAGGGGGGAAGGAAATGCATGTACAGTACAAATATTTATATAAAAAAAAATAAATAAATAGGAGAAAATGTGTGAATGGAGTGGGTGTGGATAGATTGGGTTGAAGGATTAAGTTGGATGGATGGTTATTAGATATTGGAGGGCGAGGAGGGCTTAGGGTGGTGGTAGGGTACATTACTTTATTATATGGAGGGGTAAGCATATAATTAGTAGTGGTTTCGCAATTGGGGCTTTATTGGCAGAAGAGAAATGCCAGTCCATTTTAGATAAAGAAATGTACTGTACAAGGTCCTCCAGACAAATTTTTTCAGCCTATAGACAACTGGTATCACACCTGTACATTATGTTGTCTTGCCTAGTTTATATTAATATTTTACAAAAAAAAAACAAAAAACACTAGTTCTTTAATTACCTATCAGTGTCTACAGGAACTGAGGATTGAGGTCTAACCCTTGGATCCTGCCTCATGGTTATTAAAGTAGGTTTGTGTGCGCACGCTTGCCTAAGTGTTTTATCTTAAAACTAGATCACCCCTTTCTGTATACAATGACTTCACTTCATTGCTATTGTACCTGATACACCCCCTACCCCCCATCCACCACATGCCTACACCACTGGCACCAATCATTATGTCCATACAGTGCTTGGAATAAGAGAGATTTAACTCTTAAGACCCTACCTTGGCAGGGTAGGGTCTAAGTTTCTGCAGCTTTTACATCTCCAATAATGCTTTTAAAGTTATGAACCAAGACAGCTTCCATGACTTTTGTTTCAAGCGTGCTGCATTTGTAGATGGGTACAGGGTTAGTGTAATGCATGAGGTTTTCAGTGGAATGAAGGTAAATATGTTGGTGGGATGTGTATATGGTTAGTGGTGGGTAAAGTGGTGGTATGGGTGTAGGTAAAGAATTGTGGGATGCGGTTATAGGTGGAGGGCAATATTAAAAGGAGAGAGAAAGGGAAGCTGGATTTAGGGTGGGTAGGTCAAAGAGCAACGAAGGTAGTAGTATTTGAGAATACCAAGAGTTAGGATGTTGATGAGACTTGTTTGAGGTTTGGGTATTAGATGAAGTTGTGGGGGTTGGGGGTGTTCTGTGAACTTAACAATGGCTGGGGAAGTGGCATGGTTGTGGAGAGGTGTTGGTAAGCAAGTTTTTTATTTTTACCTCTGGTTATAAAATTCTTGCTTTAGCAAAGGTAAGAAATTATATAAAAAAATAAATAAAAATACTGTCACCCATTGATCTACTCAAGGGCTACATTCTTGGAAAGGCAATTCACAGCAAACATAACTTCATATAAACAAAAATGTATTAGGTTTCAGACTGAAAATTAAACAAATTTCCACTCTATGGGAATATGTTTCCATATATATTAAATTACTGTACAGTACAAAATTTAAAGTAGATTCTGGATGCTGTAAACAAAAGTATGAAAAATTAGATATTTGTCAAGAGTCATGAGGAAACAATGTTGTGTTTGAATGCTCAGCACATCTAAGAGGCAAAGCAAAGGTGAAGGGATGATGCATGTGGAAATCATACCCAAAGCAACATCACATGTGCCAGTAAAAACTCGTCTAGCCAAACCAGCCATAGTGCATGCTTGGAAAAGTCATAGAACTTTAAATTCATATGCTGTGAATGTACAGATCAATAGTCAACAGCAGTTACCATTAGGCACAACTACCTAGTGACAAAAGATCATGTAGGTTATGAGAATTTTGAGTTTAAATTCACATAAGACGAGACATTTTCTAGATATAAAGGAATGAAGACTAATATTAAGAAAAATAAATACTGTAGTTACCATTGGGCTTTACTGCCCAGTAACAAAACGATCCATAGTTTTATTATACCCAAGCCTTATTGGTTTCTAATAAATTCAATTAGGCTTTAAGATATCACAAAGAAAAAGACTTCTTTAATACCAATAGCAGAATTATTTTTTCCAAACTTAAATTGATATCTTGCCATAACAATATGTAATAAGAAACATAGAAAGGGGAAATATATTTACAAATACAATATACTGTACTCACATTATAGATGCTGAAAGCACAGTCCAGCAATGCTTTGTTAGCATAAGCAAAATAATCCAGCAATATGATTTTAAATATTAATCCAGTATATAATAACTGAGAGCAACAATATCAATAATATATGAAGTTCCTATGCAATACAAACATTGATCTCAAGGACAATAAGGGCATTCTTTTTGCTGTGCCTAATTATTCCAAGGAAGACTTATAGTTTTAGTATTAAATGTCTTTAGAGATGAATGTTTATGGGTTTTCACCGAAATGCAATCTATGATAACAGAATTAATTCTGTTCTACAATGTTTCTATAAATAATATTACTTTGGATAAAAACCCACACTTATGTATTGGTGAATATTATGTAAAGATTTAAACCAAGTCTTTTGTACTCCTTATATTTCAACGATTATTTGTCGAGATGTAAGCCTCATCCTCACTACACACTCAGGCCTTGAGAAAGCACTCAAGTGAGTGTAAAAGACTTGGTTTAAATCTTTACAAAAAATTCATAAATACATAAGTATGAGTTTTTATCCCGTTATTATGTCTGAGAAGACATTACCATTACTTAATAATAGTAATATTCTTTGAAGGTTTGCATAACATGGAATAGTTTATTAATGTTAATGCAGATTCCATTAACATAACTTTTTTATACAAATTCTTAACAAATCACTATTTTTTCTCTATACATACTATTCAACTAGATTTTATTGATATAATGTACCTTGTGTATCACATGAAAACAATATCCATATCTTTTTATGAAATCATAAAATGGAATGCACCAAATAAAACTTTTAAAATAAAGGAACCTTTAGTGAAGTAACTACTAAAGCACCATTTTTACTTATAATATAAGAATGGTTATGTTACAAGGTGCAGCAGTCAAAGTTAGTAATATTACGCATATGATATCAATGTGAAATTGTTCAATTTTTTCCGTTCCATCATTTATTTTAATCTCCCTGTATGTGGCAGAAACTAATAACACCAAAATTCTAAAATTTTTAATAAATTTGCTTTAGACAGTTACCATTATGCACAGTAAATAAGATTTTTCATTAAATATCAGGCAACCAAAGATAATTCTTAAGATAATTCATAATTTGAGCAAGCATTCAAGTTTTGTGTTAATTTACATACAAACGTAACTTGAAAATGAAAACAAGTATACATAAAATAAGTATGGCATGAAATAAATTAAAGTTCAGTACATATAAATATACTGAACACTAATGTGCAAGTAATATCATAAGAGTATACAGTGCATCCTCCCTCAAACAAATTCCTGGATGGTCTGAACAAATTGTATCCGATGCAGTTGTTGAGTGAAATATGCAAATGTTCGATGAAGAGAAGATTGTTCATCTAAGCCGTCATCCAGGTCAAGCATTATCATCATCCATGATCCACTTAATCATACTTTAAACAATTATACAGTGCTTAAAACACTAAGTTTGACTAAAATTACCACATATTTTACAAATTATGTAATAAAATACAGTACTAATATTTAAAATACTGTATACATTGAACAGCCAAACTTGAATATTATTATTATGCCACTGCCATGTGTTAATCTTTGTTGTCACTTTTATTAGCATGGTCTTACGGGACCAATCATAATTCTGAAGATGGTAATACAAAGTTGAAATAAATTTCAATTAATGAAAATTTATGAAACATATGTGCACTGTACACATGCTCCAGGTATGTAAGTTGCCACCTGCCATGACAAAGCAGCCAGCAGCTGACTGGCAATTGGTATTATGGTTGCCATCTGCTTAACACCTCTTAGGCCTATTATAACTAACTTGAACATATATGATGGCCCAAGGAATATTTAGTTAAATTTGTGAGACGGCAGGATGCCTGATTTTTAAACAAGTTGGGAAATACAAATTTGGGGGAAAGGGGGGGGGGGAGTCTAATCAGCCATATGGGGTGGAGAGAACAAATTTTAAAACTCTGAGATGAAAAATTTAAAATCTCATTTGCTCCTCACAGAGGAGAAAATTTGGCACTAGTTGACGAGGAAAAGACACCAGATATCCCAGATGAAAGGTGGTCAGATGATTTGCTGCTTGCAACATGGATCAACAAATTGAGGAGTAACTAGGGGTCACATGACCAGTGGGAGGCACCAGAGTGGCACTACTCAGCCTTATGAGACATCACTGTCACAGGAACTCGTACAGGAAGGTCATCACTTACATCACCTCTGAAAATTTAAATTTTTAAATTTTGCCCCGAGGGGCGAGTTTATTGGGCAGCGCCACTCGTCTTGTAAGTGGACACACCGCCATAGCAGCATGTACAACACTCCCCAATAGGAAGAAAACCCGCTGGGTTGTTCATCCTGTCACTTGTACACAGCTGGGACTTGCTTAACTGTCTCAAGTGAACAGCTCCTCAGACATGAAGATTAGATTAACATCTATCAACCCTTAAAAGCTTATGTCACCTCTGAAAGTTCAGAAAATTTTAAGTGGATGACATGTCTAGAGGTTAAAAGATGATGGTATACACACGGAGTAGCCCAGCAAATCTTTTTGGAAGATACTGTTAAGTGAATTGTACAAGTTGCAAGAAGAATACAAGTCAAACGTTCGTTAATGGTCAAGGACCACCAGTTCCAAGACGTTTTAACAACAGTTAAAGGGAAGACAACGTGAAGTGTGTGCAAGCGAAAAGAAGACTGCACTGAATCACCTGATGGATGAGGCAGACGATGGCAACAAGCATTAGATTTAAACTTTGTTAGATCAAGTTTATCCCTCCCCTCCCCTTCCCTTTCCCCTGAATTTGGGCTGTTCTGATGAAGATTGGATTTGTATTATTGATTTATGTATATGCCATGTTCAGTATAATTATTTGCATATTTTCTGGACTAATAATTTCATAATTAGGCTATGATAAGCGAGGTTAATTTGTAGAGTTATGCAAGATAGCAGCAGCCTAGCAGTTTTGTGGAGAGTAATTTTGTTCCTGAACTCCACATTAATGTGAAGTATTTAAAAGTTGAAGTGACCATTACATTTAGTTAATTACTGATTAAAGTTGGCCAGTTTATTATACTGTAGTTTTATGATGGTTGGAAGTGAACAAGGCTACTGAAATTTAAAGAGCCAGTTGCCAAGCAATGGGGGGCACAAGAATTCCCCCCATCTCCCACACCCCCACACCCCAGGTAGACAACTTACTTTCAATAATAAGTGTTATATTTTATATACTTGTGTTGCTGTTCTCCATGCTCTCTGATTACTTCTCTAGTAATCCGAGCTGAATAAATTACACATTATATAAACTACTGGTAAGAGACAATTATTCATAAAGTTGTATGGGAGAGGCTAACAGATGCGAGATACTAGGTTCTGTTAAGTGCAGCAAGAGAGACTGGTTTTGTCTCCAGGTCTTTAATGACGAGGTCAGGTGTGTTACCCTTGCCAGTTTGGTGAAATAATTATCATTTTACTTCTTTGGTTTCAATAATGAGTGTATATATATAATTTAATACCAAATTGTTCATAAATGATCGTTCTATCAGGCCAGAGTAAAAATAAACAATTTCTTGTGAATATTTATATCATGACTGGGAGAGTTTGTGTAAATCACAGTCATTATGTAACGTTGGGCTCCAATAGGTCTCATATAGTTTACTGTAACATGGAATTATTCACCAATGACTGCTCTACATATGCCATGTTCAAAATGATTAATACATAATACTATAAACTGATATTTTTGTTTGTTTTTTAAAATAGACATGAAGATGGGTTATGTACTTGCCTAAGCTAGCTTTGGGTTATTATGAAGATATTTCACTACTCTACTCTCTTCTTAAGGTAAGTAAAAAATCTTCATGTGCATTATAGTGGATGTAAGCCCTTTGATTTTTTCAGTGGGAGGGGTTGCCTAGGGTCTGGCGGGTCGAACAAAAGCCCTAATGGAATGTATCTGCCTCACCCCATATAGTTTATTCAAGCAAGAACACACTATTTGGTTCCCAGTGTCGTGGACAGGAAGCGTGTTAGGCTAATCTAGATCCGCCCCCTAGGTCAGGATGCAACCCACAACAGTTACAGTACCTATTTTCAGCTTGGTGAACATAGGCATCAGATGTAAGGAAACTTGGCCAAATGTCTTGTCTTGTACAAGAATTGAACCTGGGTCCATTCAGTTGTTAGCCGCTTGCAGTGATCACTGTGCTACAGGCCCACCTCGTCATGGTAGATGTCATGCACTATATGTACAGTATCATGCTTTTTCAAATTATTTTACTCTAGAACCAGTTGCTTTGATATAGAATGTTAACTCATGGCTACATTATGATCAGATAAAGAAAACAGTTAGTAGGAAAGTGAAGTTTGATATATATTTTAATGTTATCAAAGAACAATATCAATAGAGCTGCATCTTAAAAATTTAAAATATTTAAAGTTTAATATGACATTTTTCTGTAAAGGAACTATCAGTGAACCCAATATAAAAATTATCCATTTGCAGCACTATAAACAGTCAAATTATACAATTATGGGGATAATGGATTTCCTTTTAAGAAAGCCTATTTCTGTAGTGGACCACTTCGGTAATAGTCATGAACTAGCCTTACACCATTATATATTGCAATAACAACCTTATACATCTTCCTTCTACTTCTGTACAGTTCAGCATTCAGTCATCCACAGGAGGCTCCATTCCACATATGACTGCCTTCATGAATGCTGCAGCGGAGAGAGCAGCATATGGCTGCCAATCTTTATTTCTGGTACCATCCCTGCAAAACATGTATTAAGTAATCACTGGATGTCTTAATTAAGCAAAAGCTATTACTAAAAACAACATTTATTTTATAAATACACTGTACCTGCACTAGCTGCCTCAGTCTCTTCACATTTTTTATACAGTAGAATAGTTTCCAAAAATAGATAATTTATAACACTCAAATGCTACTTGCTGAGCAGACCCTCAGTTGCTTACAAAGTCTTATAGCCATATGTTTCACCCAAACCACAAAATATGTCAAGCTTTGTCAACTTACTCATAGCCATGACAGACCTTTACTAATGGTCCTGCCAAGTAAATTGAGGGAGATGATGGAAAAAAAAACTCAATGCACTAATTAGCAATAAGCTTGCTATTAGACAAAGTAGAAAATAACAACATTGATGCCCACTGTGAACAATGAAAACCAATTATTATTGCTATCTACTGCATAGGCCATTAACCCAGCCCCATCCACCTAAGATTTCCCAATGTCAAGAAATTGTTGTACTAAGGTTCCCTTATCTTAACCTACCAGAGAACCCAAAACAGAAATCAGGACAGTACGGTATGTCAATTTTGCGAGCCGCTACCATTTTCTAGTACAACAATTTTTAGCTTTAGGTAGAGTATCTCAAAATGTGAAATTCTATTAGGAGGATGGATTGATTAACCACAACTCCCAAGTGCCCCTAGATGGCAGCACTAAGTCATCAAGGCCAGGAAAACAGCAGCCCTCACTTAATGCCCAGGCTACTGCAACAAGGTAAAAGAGAGTCAGGTTAAGAAAAAAAAAAAAGGAGTAACCAAGGAATATCAGTGTATCAATATTTACAATGTCATATTTCTGAACTACCACCATTAGATGTTCTGCGAGCCACCTTAGTAGAAAGAAGATTAAGCAATAATCTAAATGAAAAAAATATTGGGAAACTTGGGTGCAGATGTAAGAAAGACGAGTCACAAAGATAGGCAAAAAATTGAGACAAGAAGACTGAAAACTCTAGATGTAGAGCAGCAGTTAGATGGTAGATAGCTAGCACAGAGCCAGGAGATTCCCTGGATGGTCGACATGAACAGGAGAATGCACCGAGACAGGCCGTCCGCCAGAACGTTGGACACCCCCGCCCAGGACATGAACTGCATGGAAAGCCAAACCCTGAGAAGCCAACAGACGAGCCACTCGAAGCGACCAGCCCTAACGAGGCAATGACCGAAGGGAACTGTTCAGGCAAGAGACAACGTGTCCGTGAACACATCGAGCGAGGGCTCGGGTAGGCACCAAGTTCACTGAACCCCGAAAACCCTGAAGAGGAAGCCTGGTGACGCAGCAGCCAAAGCAAGGGCCCCGAGTACGAACCCGGTGATCGCAAGAGAAGCGGATTTGAAAAAATTGCAGCGAAAATATTACCCTAATTACCCTTCTAGTCCCCGAAGGCACCAGAACAGACACCGAAGCCAAACCTGACCCAGCAGGTAGACCAGAACGGAGAAGTTCAAACTCACTCATAACTGCTTGAGCAACCACCGAGTGACCTGGGATCCCCCCCAAAAACAGCCGAAGGCGGGACTGCTGCCTCAGCAACGCCTCTGGAGGATGAAACATAGAAGTGGTCAAAGAGTCCCAAACCCAGCCAAGTCCAAACCAAATGCCCACGGGCGCGCAAATTCTCAGCAACCAAGGATACCGAAAGAGTAGGAGCCTGCACGTGCAGCTGCACAAGGCCAACATTTCAAGAAAGCATAGGGGTGAACAATTATGCATTAAGGCGATCAAACTCACCCCCATCCCCTTAACCCTAACCCTCAAGAGCAGTACTCACAGAGTGCCTAGGGAAGGATACTCCTAAGCGCATGCAGCCCCAGTACTTTTGAGGCCACCTGGCCACCACACAACAACACTGCAGAGGTCACTACGAAGGCAAAACACCGCCTTGGAATTCAAGGCCAGAGAAGACGTTTGCCCCGGACCACATTAGTGAACAAACTGGAGTGCTATGTAGCCGGTGCGGGGAGGGAAGGGCTGCACAGATGAGAGACGCGGCGGTGGAGTGTGACGTTTGCTCGTTTCCTTGGGATTGGAGGGAGTTCTGCCTCCTTTTGGTTTATAGTTGTAATTTTCTTACCATGAGGGGTTTGTTTTGTTATGCCTACCTTTCTGGGTGCCTAAGCCCAGTCGATGGCAGATAAGGAAAACCCTCAACCACAGGGGGGGGTTTCCAGGGCCAATGCTCCCTGTACCGCTCTGAGGAGGACAAGTTCTGGCTCGTGGTCCCCAGTAAGCTGAACTCCATAGACTAATGCCCTGGTCTAATATATCACGTATTACCCCGAAAGCTCCAGGGAGCCGTAGGGGCTCCAAACAGAAAAAACAATATACTGTATCACCAAACAATATCCTCACCATAATACCATGTACACTAATATCAGATTTTAATGCTCAGGGGATGGCATACTTTACATCAATTCAAAGCCCTGTCCTGTGTGATGGCAATCCTGTAGAAATTACAGGTGTGGGAGGACAAACTCCAATCAAACATCAAACTGTTAGAATTGGAAGTCATGAGTTATTGGGGTCATTCAAAGCTGCTGTCAGTTAACCCCAGTTAGGTCTAACCATAGCCTAAGGCATGCAAGTTCTGACTGTGCCTATAGAGGTGTTAAATGGATCAATGAGAATGGGCTTTGACCTGCATTGATTAATTCCAATTGATCTGAGTATCTCATACCAAAACACAATAAGATGCTAAGAACTGGAGAAAGCCCTGGGCATCTTGGAAGCATGTCACTCTTACAGCCATTTCCATAAAGATTATTATGGTTTGTCTAGGCCAAAGACTAACAGTCCAAGTGCTGAACTAAGTCAAGTCACTGTTACTATAGTATCCACTATGTATAATCAGCAATCATGCTTTTCCTGTATCATCTATGCAAGACTGAGCTCTTAAAAAATATTGTAGACTCCCAGCCATCAAGTTGTATTATGGGAATATCATGTAATCAGTCACTTGCTGCAGCCAATGCAAACATAAGTCTCATCACATCTGTTTACATATTAGTTTGAAACATGCAAAAGGTATTATCAAAATTTTGCACAAAATATTTTAATACTTGTACTGGAAGTAAAATTTTTTAAAAATATTACTGCGCAGAGCTAATTACTCTCAGCAAGCACATACAAGTGAGAGTACACAAGAGAATGAACACGATATACAAGCACAAAGAAGTGAAAAAAGATGAGAGATTGGGTGAACAGTATTTACTTAAAAGTCAATATGGAGGTAAATAAAATGAAGCAGACAGAACATCATGTAACACTGCAAGAAAGAAATTTATGATTTATTCACAAACAGTGTCTGCCATAGTACTTACTGGTAGTCACATATGCCTCTGATGAGAACATACTGGTCCTTGCGATTCCCATACACAGACTCAATGACAGCATCAAATTCCTGGTCATAGGCTACAACTGAAAGCTGAGAAGCAAAATCTTGTCTCATTTGGTCATTCCCAACCACACACCGCCCTGAAGCGATGACACCCAAGTGAATACGGGGCTTGGTTGGGTCTCTGTAACATTAAATAATTTAGATTTATTAGTACAGTACTGCTCTGTAATAATGTTATATTTTGACATGTCATCTACATTTATTTATCACTAATCAGCAGAGAAATAAGGACAGATTCTTCTGCCTGTATTATCCTCCTCACATAATCTCACACTCCTTCATACTGTAACTCTTCTCTCAAACACTTTCCAATTCATCTGCCTTTTTTTCCCCAGCATCTTTCTCCACTTTGCCCCATTCATGTGTCAATCAGCGCTTTTCCATGCCGCACCCCTCAGCAACATCTGGACACCAGATTTTCAACCTGTTATCCATATTTAGGAGCAGAAACACAGCTGCTAAGGCAAAAACTAATGGAATTCCTTAACCTAATACTGTGATACTCTTGATAGCAAAAAGCAGGAGAAAGGAAGCCCAGATGTCTAGCAAGATGTGATCTAGTGTAAAACCATATAACCTACAATCACACACAATAATTAGGAAATGAGTTGAATCACCCAACACTAAACACCAATTACCTTCATTCTAAGTGAATCTCGCAGAACACCATGAAAGAATGGTACTTGGTCAAATGAGCAATCTAATGCTGACTAACAGACCAATAAGAAATCAGAGGGCATACAAAACCGTGTAAATGAATGTAAAGGGCCGTGACGAGGATTCGAACCTTGTGGATTTGTTCATTTTATGTATCACGCAATTGTGATTTCTGTGTGTAATGAAGTAAGGGCGAAGAGGGAGAACGGCCTATTGACATAACTCGAGTGCATGGGGAATTTGTGTAAAACCCTGGTTTGTGCCTCAAGAGAGGCTGCAGGATCCAGTAAGTTCAGTAGAACTTCGGTTTTAACTCCTTTTACCATGTCGTAGCTCAGTCGATTAAGGCAGTATCTGGGATGCTCTTGGTCGCTGGTTCGAATCCTCGTCACGGCCCTTGTGGATTTGTTCATTTGATGCATCATGAAATTGTGATTTGTGTGTGTAGTGTAGTGTAGTGTAAGGGTTATCAAAGGCTTTGAATGTACTTCAAGTGTATAAATTTTGAGCTTTCTACAGCTAACATTAACTGGATGATCTTCAAATGCTGCCTAGTGCTAGGAGAGTTTATAGAGATAAATGTCTGAAACGTTTCCTGTGGTGCTGGTACCTAGAATGCTGCCCTGCCTGATTACGTGATTCACTCCAGCATATGACAGTAGAATCATACCCTAGCAAGCAACAAAGGGGAAAAATTTAGACAGACAAAAACGGCACCTAAACTATCTTTAAGGTTAATGGTACAGTTTGAATTGAAGAGGCTATAACAATAAACATATTTACCTTATATTCCCTGACCCATCAGGAGGAAGAGGATGAGAAACCTCAATCACATCGGAGCCACCAATACTCATGTACAACTTGTCTGTTTCTTCATTTGGTCGGGAGAAATCCATTTCTTGAGCAGACAACTTATTATTACCCTCAGCCATATATTGAAGCCATGGTGTTGGACCTTCCTTTTCTTCTCCCTGAAAGAAAATTATACATATTTAAGTAAAATATAACAAAACCTCTTTCTAAAACACTTTTATAAATTAAGTAATTTTTATACATCTCTACAGTATATAGTAAATGATTCCCAATACATGTATATAGCATGCTGGGCTTGGAGAATTTCATCTAGTGTCACAGTTAATGAACAATTGGTACAAAAGCTTATATGGCAGCTCTGCTCTCACACCATTTCTAAATCCTACCAAATCATATTCACATTTAAAGAGAATTGCTCAGGGAGCTACTGAAGATCATTCCCAGAAAATATTTGTATCACCTTTTAAAACTCACTTTTTAACTCTTACTTTGCTAATGATGCTTATAAACCTTGATAATGATGCTTATCAAGCAATTATGCAAGTACTTATGAACTGTAAATCATTTCTCAATCTTTGGCAGCTTTGTTTACACACATTAAACAGTTTTTGAGCATCGAAACTTCCCAATCAAATAGTATTTTTGTTATTAAGAGACTTCTAGTGCTTCAGAGCTCAAACTGATTAATAAATGTAAACAAAACCTTCAAAGATTGAGAAGATGTATATGTCCATAAGTACTTGCATAAATGATTGATGAATCCAGCCCTTGGATTCTTGTTATGAATTCTGGAAACCAACAAGAACAGGTGTCAACAATTATAATAACCTTATTGGAAGCACGCATGGAAAGACACTCCTAATTAACAGAGTAGTTTAAGGGGTTACTTAATTGAACAGTTTAAAGGTTAACCATCCAACAAAATTTTTATCATGTAACACTTACCAAGGCAGTAGTCTAATCGTACCTCTCACAGCAATTATATTCTCTACCTTCCACAAAATATTTCTCACCTGTTGTTTTAACTGGTAAGCAATATTCTGTAGACTTAGGTCTGGGGGGCCCCAGGACTTCGTTTCAAACTCATATGATCCACTCTCTAATGTTTTTGCACTATCACAATACATGTAGATAAACCTGAAATACAAAATAGATCAATAAACATTACATATAATAGGGGTATTTTATCTTGGCATAATAGCAGGATTACATACTCTCAATACAGTGTTGTGACTTTCTGGGTAGAGCAGCTGTTCCTAGCCTACTTGGCACTGCACACACACACACACACACACACACACGCACGCATGCACGCACGCACGCACACACACACACATTGGATTGTCGGAAAGCCTTTGACACAGTACCGCATAAGAGGCTGGTACATAAGCTGGAGAGACAGGCAGGTGTAGCTGGTAAGGTGCTCCAGTGGATAAGGGAGTATCTAAGCGATAGGAAGCAGAGAGTTACGGTGAGGGGTGAGACCTCCGATTGGCGTGAAGTCACCAGTGGAGTCCCACAGGGCTCTGTACTCGGTCCTATCTTGTTTCTGATATATGTAAATGATCTCCCGGAGGGTATCGATTCATTTCTCTCAATGTTTGCGGACGATGCTAAAATTATGAGAAGGATTAAAACAGAAGAGGACTGTTTGAGGCTTCAAGAAGACCTAGACAAGCTGAAGGAATGGTCGAACAAATGGTTGTTAGAGTTTAACCCAACCAAATGTAATGTAATGAAGATAGGTGTAGGGAGCAGGAGGCCAGATACAAGGTATCATCTGGGAGAGGAAATTCTTCAGGAGTCAGAGAAGGAAAAAGACTTGGGGTTGATATCACGCCAGACCTGTCTCCTGCAGCACATATCAAGCGGATAACATCAGCGGCATATGCCAGGCTGGCCAACATACGAACGGCATTCAGAAACTTGTGTAAAGAATCATTCAGAACTTTGTATACCACATATGTCAGGCCAATCCTGGAGTATGCAGCCCCAGCATGGAGTCCATATCTAGTCAAGGATAAGACTAAACTGGAAAAGGTTCAAAGGTTTGCCACCAGACTAGTACCCGAGCTGAGAGGTATGAGCTACGAGGAGAGACTACGGGAATTAAACCTCACTTCGCTGGAAGACAGAAGAGTTAGGGGGGACATGATCACCACATTCAAGATTCTGAAGGGGATTGATAGGGTAGATAAAGACAGTCTATTTAACACAAGGGGCACACGTACTAGGGGACACAGGTGGAAACTGAGTGCCCAAATGAGCCACAGAGATATTAGAAAGAACTTTTTTAGTGTCAGAGTGGTTGACAAATGGAATGCATTAGGAAGTGATGTGGTGGAGGCTGACTCCATACACAGTTTCAAGTGTAGATATGACAGAGCCCGATAGGCTCAGGAATCTGTACACCTGTTGATTGACGGTTGAGAGGCGGGACCAAAGAGCCAGAGCTCAACCCCCGCAAACACAACTAGGTGAGTACAACTAGGTGAGTACACACACACACACACACACACACACACACACACACACACACACACACACGCGCGCGCACGCACGCACGCAGAGATGGTCAGAGAAATGGCTACTGGAATTCAACACGAGCAAATGTAAAGTTATGGAAATGGGACTAGGAGATAGGAGACCAAAGTGACAGTACACAATGAAGGGAAACAGCCTACCTGTGACGACGCGCGAAAAAGACCTGGGTGTGGACGTAACACCTAATCTATCTCCTGAGGCACATATAAATAGGATAACGACAGCAGCGTACTCTACACTGGCAAAAGTTAGAACATTATTCAGAAACCTAAGCAAGGAGGCATTTAGGGCGCTTTACACTGCCTACGTGAGGCCAGTCTTAGAGTATGCCGCTTCATCATGGAGTCCCCATCTGAAAAAGCATATAATGAAACTGGAAAAGGTTCAGAGGTTTGCAACGAGACTCGTCCCAGAGCTACGAGGGATGGGGTATGAGGATCGCCTGAGGGAACTGTGCCTTACGACACTAGAAAGAAGAAGGGAGAGGGGGGACATGATAGGAACGTATAAAATACTCAGAGGGATTGACAGAGTGGACATAGACGAAATGTTCACACGGAATAGTAACAGAACGAGGGGACATGGATGGAAGCTTGAAACTCAGATGAGTCACAGAGATGTTAGGAAGTTTTCTTTTAGCGTGAGAATAGTGAGAAAATGGAATGCACTTCAGGAACAGGTTGTGGAAGCAAATACTATTCATAATTTTAAAATCAGGTATGATAGGGAAATGGGACAGGAGTCATTGCTGTAAACAACCGATGCTCGAAAGGCGGGATCCAAGAGTCAATGCTCGATCCTGCAGACACAACTAGGTGAGTACACACACACACACACACGAGCCAAGAGAAACAATGTCCACCCACGTTAGTGCAGAAAATTAACCTCCCATTAATCTACATTTAACCAAACTGGCAAAAGAATATTATGCTCAGCTTCTACAGTCCCTTGCATCTCTGCCCCACACATACTAGGAATCATATAAATGCAAACAGGTTGGACGAAAACTTCACTTAGACCAAGCCCAGCACAGAGAAAACTTGACTCATTTATTCTTCAATCTCCACCTCTACTTGTTGGAGGTCTAGTTCATAAGCAGCCTCCTATACTGACTGATGAGACTCCTGCCACCACACTGCCAAACCTCTCTGCGTGTAACATCCCACATCTATGTCCACTGACTGACTCGACTAATACTGGGACTCCTGCTACTACCTTACCTAATCTCGCAGCTTGCAGCATTTCATGTCAGGCTATATACACATTCCTTACTTCCTTCTATCTCTCTAGTTTATTAAAATAATAAGTTTATTGTACAGTATTGCTGTGCATTTTAAATACACAGCAATATGCTGTGTATTTAAATATGCTGACTGGCTATGCTCATGGATAACTAAAATATGAAAACAATCTGGCATGGCCTTCATTTGGTTCATCTTTATCCCTCTCTTAACCACTGCAATGCACAACACGCCTTGAGGCTCTCGACGGGTGGTGAGCAATGTGCCTCAGGAATCTCATAGGTATAGCATTGCAGTCAAAACACCCGTGGCTACACGAGGTTCAGGTCAGCTTTCTCAGGGCTCTCATAAACAGACACCATTTTGAAAAAAACCGTGGGCAACATTCCCGGGTGTGAAAGCCTCAGTACTGAGTGAGCAACCAAGCCTGGCACACACAGCATGAGCTAACAGCATTGCTGTTCAGCTTGTAACCACAGCATTGCCTAATAATGTCAAAATATATATGTTACTGGTATTATTTAGCCATGATAGCATTACAGAAGAGCCTGACTGTGATAAAGACTTTGTACAGTGTTCAGATGTCAGTGAATCAATGCTGTTCAAGATGTTCACAGCGCTAGCTACAGCACACTGCCACTATTTCATCCTTCTAGGACTCTTCAAAGGACTTATGCTCCTTTACAAAATAAACTTGTGGTAAATTATTCATTTACAGGATTTAGTGACCAAGATTCTGATAATAGCAGGATTGTAGTGATAATTAGTGTTGTGAGTAGTATCATGGGAGGAGGAATTTTGGTGAGGTGGGAGGGAGGTAGCATCAGCTGACTGTGTGGCAGCCACTCTTGTTTGGACTCACCATACCAGCTTAGTGGTCTGCTATGGTTAACACAAATGTAGATACTTATATATAACGTGTGTATACTGTATAGTGAAATAACAGTAACAGGAAATGTGTTGGGATGAGCCATTTTGCTGAGGGATGTGGCGTTGTACTCCTAGTGTCGTCTGCTGGCAACTGTGTGACTTGACATGCAGAGTATGGTGGCAACTCGGCAGTTTGAACACCATAGTAGTTTAGGTGTATAGTTATGGTGAATAAAATATGTAGATACTTGTATATAACGTATGTACGTGTGTGTGTGTGTCGTGGAGCAAATTCGGCTCCTATAAATTCTCTTGGATGAAGTGTTATGGAAGATCAGAGTAGTGATCTGCCATCATCAACACGCTGTCATCAATCTCAAGGGAAGTGTCTTTCCGAAACCCGTTTATCTTTCATTTATGGCCATTAATGTCAGTAGATACAGTATAGGGTGTTCGGGTTAGATCACAAATGATCGACTCAAACAAGGTAATTAAGCCTAGGTTTTTATGGTTCCTTGTACAGTGTTTTCTCTGATATAGCTGTCATATATTAGGATTCTGGCTTTACAGCTAGCGCCCTTTTGACAGGTCAAGACGAGGAAGCATGCTTTGTGTGCCAGTTACTGGGTGATGGAAGCCACCTCAAAGAGGATAATTTGGTGTCTACATCCTGGTTATACCTGGTGGACTAAGGCCTGCTGTACAATAAGATAAGGAACCTCTTCAATGTATGTAGTCTAATACTGTAGTTTGATTGGCTGCATATATATAAATTTAATATAAACCCCCCTAATGTGTAGAGGATCGATTTGTGAGATTATGAGATTATTGCAGAAATACAGTCCACTTAACATCATACAAATTGCTATCGAAGTATATAAATTAATGTAAATATAAATTCTATATAAATTCATATAAATTAAATAAATATAAATCTCACAGGTCGGTTCCCACACAACCGTCTACCACTCTGTTTGCGAAAGTGAATTTTCTTATATTTCTTCGGCATCTGTGTTTAGCTAGTTTATATCTATGACCTCTTGTTCTTAAAGTTCCAGGTCTCAGGAAATCTTCCCTATCGATTTTATCAATTCCTGTTACTATTTTGTATGTAGTGATCATATCACCTCTTTTTCTTCTGTCACACACACGTGTGTTTACTAGTTGTGTTTTTGCGAGGGTTGAGTTTTGCTCTTTTGGCCCGCCTCTCAACTGTCAATCAACTGTTTACTAACTACTTTTTTTTTTTTTTCCACACACCACACACACACACATCCCCCAGGAAGCAGCCCGTGACAGCTGACTAACTCCCAGGTACCTATTTACTGCTAGGTAACAGGGGCACTTAGGGTGAAAGAAACTTTGCCCATTTGTTTCTGCCTCGTGCGGGAATCGAACCCGCGCCACAGAATTACGAGTCCTGCGCGCTATCCACCAGGCTACGAGGCCCCTGTCCACACACACACACACACGTGTGTGTGT